CTTATAACAGTCACTAGATTATTAAAAATAACTAATACAGAATGGAAAAGTTTCAACAAATTTAAAAAAGAAATGAAGTACTTCTTCAAATGATTCAGCGGAATGGAGTTAGTCTTTCAACAGAAATTAAGGATATTATTCCTAAATAAGTTATTACAGTCTTAAGGATGTGTTTTGGTCATGTCAATATATTTTGTTTTTATTTTTCATCTACTTATAAGTAGTCGAACTTGAATCATAAAATATCTTGTGTTATTCATCGCCCTAGGTCCTGTTTTTATAGTTCTGAGGGATAGAAAGACGAAGCTGAAAATACATGCTATGAAACAATTATCTTACAGTTAAAAAAATATCCAAGTCAACCAAATTTGCATAAACCTGGGGGGTTGGTAAAAGTAATGGGAATTTCTTTTTTGTTTTGTTGAATAAAGGCAACCTAAAATGAGTGAACAAAATGGTTTACATATTCGAACAACGAGCCATATTAAAGTGTTAAAAGTTCTTTTTAGCATAAATGTACTTTATTTAATTGGTTGTTGCATACCATTTGCTATAATGGCAGAAAACAAGGATTAATTACCAATATATATGGAACGTTAATAAATAGTTAATCCTCCTAAGCTTTAGTATCTACAATGTCGTTATATAAGTTTCAGTAAGTAGTGTAAAACACTGCTGCATATCAACATTATCCTACAGTTCGAAAGCGTATCCAGAACTTTAGACGATATTATGTTACAAGAAAACTGATACATTTTGTTTGAGGTCTTTAATGTAAATTTCGTCAAAAGGTGCCTAGGATATGGCAGATTTACCACTGGAAAATTACATTTTAATCTTGATAAAAAGTATGAACACTCATCATTGAAAAATAGTAAGTAACTGAGGCTGTTAGAAACACATAGGTAATTATCTAGAGTTTGGGTGAGGCTGTAAAATACAGGGTAATAGAAAACAAAAAAATTATCTATCAAAATTTCTTTGAGTTATGAGATTATTGCTACAATTTCGACCCACAGCTTTAACGTAAGCAATGCAAACTTGTAAATGGACTACAGAAAATTTTTTGATATGAGCTTTATATGTAACTGTTTCAAATTTCCCTGGTTGTTCAAATGTAACTAACACCAAGTATGAATAGGGTGTCAAAAGATCACTGTTTTGCACCAAGTTTTAAATTATGTTTTTTCAACTTTTCATCTATCTTTGACTTAAATAAAAAAAACTACAATGTCATGATTTGTCATGCCAAATATCTTCAGTGGTTTCCACTTATAGATTGTTTTATTCGGTTTAGGGAGTTTTCTGTCTTTTACATTTAAATCTGCTTTCTTCAACAAAAATAAATAACGAAAGTATAACAGTGAATTATCTCAATGCTTTTTGGATTCTGAGATAAAAGAAGCTTTCAACAGTTGAGATCATGAGTCAACTGAAGCTAGACCACCATGGAAAACCTGGAAGCACTGGACGGCCGTTTCATCCTATAGTGGACTCCTCAGCAGTGCGCATCCCGCGAGGCGGGGTCGTGGATTACTACAATCTCCACAAAACCCATTCTGATAAAAAAAACTACTGATAACTATGTTTTCGAGCATTTTCGACTCGATTTTAAAATTGAACTCGCTGGTTTTGGATTTTACCTAGTGAATGAAGAAAAGTTACTGGTTATCATGCGAATTTCTTTACTGTTAATATCAAGTAATTTTAAACAACAATGAAATCATACACAGTCATCTATGAAATGAAGTTTGTAAATTATATATATATATAGGTTATTATAAATGTGCTTGTAGGGATGTCTGATATAAATAACTAAAATGGCCATCTCTCCTAATTTGTCTATCAATATATAAATTTTTGTTTTGCTTTTCTACTATGTGGTACATTTGGTTGACAGGTAATTTTGTTGAAAAACATGTTGGACATATGCTAGACTGTGCACTTAAATTAAGTTTTGTTTATAAAATATTATGTTAATGAACTGTTTATTTTTAGGAAAATAAAGCAAGATACAAATGTAATCCTTTTTGTAAAATAACAGAAAACGTAGGTTAAAAAGAGAATAACAAAATGTAAATCTCTTCCTATAACACTAAGAATGCACTGTAGTTTAGTATAGAAAACAAAATGGCTTAAAAAATGAATTATTTCGTGTATATGTACCCATGATTGTCACAAGTGCATTACAATAGAAATTTATGAAAGTTGAAATGAGTAAAGGACTCTGTGTATAGTGTGAAGTCTTTCTGTTCTATCTACAAAATGATGAACAAAGAAAACTTGCCATTTATTTCAATGAAATGGATTGTTTTCGTTTATGGCCACTAAAAATGTCATACAAATGTCACAATTATTTATTAAGTGACTGAAATTCGCTTATAATAATCTATGACAGGTCAGAAATAATTGAATTATGTTAAGAAAAATGTTCAAAATATTTACATTCAAAATACAGAACCTATTTAGGAAGATATCTAAAATATACTGTGTGACTAAATTTCCACTACTATCCATTACATTTACTTTCATTTTAAGTGGAAACTTCATTTTATTAACATTAACTCATCTATATTTTGGAACTAGAAATGTTAACTTGTTTTCTGGATGATAATTTATTTTCCATTTTACTAGTCGTGATATAAATGAGAATATTTCGAAACTTGAATAACCTATTCCTGCACCATTTTTAAACGTGGTGATCCCATTGGATTACTATATGCTACTATTGAAATAATTGTCCTAGTGAACAAAAATCTCAAACACAACTATATTACTTATTGATATTCAGTACCATTACTGCAACCAAATAAAATTATTTAGTGTTTATAAATGATCGAAAATCATATTAACCAATCGAAAAATGTTTGAGAATTTTACGTACACGATACATGGATTCCGTTTAAAAACGAACATTAAACATGATTTCATTAAATCATAATCCAGTGTCGTTATAAAACTTAAGCAACTAATTTTTTCATTGAAATATGAGTAGATTTACACATAACTTTCAATGGGTACTTGTTATGAATGTAAAATGGATACAGTTAATGAAACAGTAAACATGGTAATATTTCACAAACTCATATGCTCTGATTCTGTTTACTTAAGTTAGTCTTGTCAACCAACAAAATAATCCTGTTTATTATCAACTTTCTCATAAAATGTTTAATTCATGTATCATAAAAAGCAACAACACAGGTCAGTGTTCCCTTAAAGCTATATTTTAGTATCAAAAATAGGATGAAATATAGTAAGTTATAATTTAATTAAATATAATTTTTGTGAATCGAGAGTGATTTTTTACAGATCAGATCGCCAAAGAACATTTATCATGATAAGGTTTACTTGTTTGTTTACTTAATTTAGTTATATTGGCTAGAAAACTCATCCGTTACATGCCCAGTAAGATATTTTAACTTATGTGAAGTTATTTTATACAGAAGAGATGAATATCCAAAAAGTTGTAATATGCATATTACTAATCACTCCTGTGCACAATGACCCTGAAAACTAAACTTACATGACAATAATTGCGAAGCATTTTGAACTACTATTTTTTTAGACGACATTTGTTTCTGTCCCAATATGTAACGCTATTATTGTAATACCCCAGTATTTATGATCACAAATGCATATTCGATTCGAACTTAGATGACAAATAGAATAAAGGCCTTCGATTTCATTAAGTAACACAATTTCCTTACTAACTTTATATCTGTGTCTGCAAAATACTTCAGTAAGTAAGCGTCGTTTTCGTCAATAGATAAAACAAAGTTACCCAATTTCGTTTTTATGTTTAGTAAAAAAGTATGATTAAATTACATTATATAGATAAAATTCTCCCAACTATTAACAATAATGACTATATTTGAAGGTATTTATATATATTTTTCCTACATTATGATAGTATTCAGATTGAGATATATTTCCCACCATTGTCACCGTACACAGTCGTAGCTTGTCGGTAATCAAGATGTAGTATCTTATTACCTTAATTTAGACGGTTTATTTATGATTTAAATAACTTTGACATGAATCTGTCTAGCTGTTCGTTAAATGAGCCTCAACATAAACTAAGAATCTCCACTTGAACTTCATAGCATAAACAAGGAATAATAAATTTGGGTTGTTATAAAATTAGTTGTTGTTACACCCTTAATCTTTTATTGCTAATAATTCAAAACTAAACAAGGTGTCAAGAAGAATACCTGGAAAATTGTTTACTTATTTCCTAGTGTATTCTCAAATGATGCAGCTGGTGGAAAGATTTTAGTAAGATATTAAATTTGTTTACAGAGATTACATGAAATATAATCTTCTAAGTCTATTGGTATTACAAGAGAAATACAAATTCGCGTTCCAGACGTCTTCTTGTATTATCTATTTAACTTGTGTTTTATGGCTTTGGTTTCTGTAGTTTCTCAATCATAAACATCACTCAATGAACTATCTGACTTTAAATTTCAACTCATAATATAAAATCAAGTTCTTCATACCCAAATTATACGGAATAAACCAATCAAATATTTTTTAGAGAATGGTACCAATAATTTTTGTGGTTATTAATTATACAAAAACACTAATTGATCCAACATAGTTTGAAGGGCTTATCTGAACCTAAGCGAGTGATTTCAAGTAGTACATTTTGGTTCCATATTAACTGTATTCAATGAGATGATTGGTTTAACTAACTGTAAATTCTCGTTCTGATTGGTTAATACAGAATAAATAAATCACTCCATAATTGGTCGGTTTCATATCAAGCTAAATCTGCTGAATTTCCAGTGTATAAGATGCATATAAAAATCATTTCCATAAAAGTTCATTTTTTGTATTCATCTAATCCTATTCAGAATGCTTATCATCAAGTTATTTAATTCGAAAACTTAATACACTAGAATTACTAAGTCAACTTTAAATATTTCACAAAATAATGTTACAAAGATTTCTATTGACTATAGCTAAACTTTTCCTGACACTTTCTTATCCTATTCCAGCTGATTCACAAGAGGATTTAGTACAACCAGATGAAACACATTTAGAGGGTGTTCCAATCTTTATTCAGCATCCTAAACCACTATATTATACAACGAAAAATAAACCAGCTACAATTGAATGCGTCGCTGAACCAGTTTCACATGCCGCTATCAAATGTGCTGAACAAACAATACCATACAAAGGTCCCGGTGAGTCCGGAATATTGGAGATTCAAAGATTGAACTCAGATAATTTACCAGATCCAGATGGTAAACGTTGGAAATTACGCTTGGAAGTCAGAGCTAAAGATGTGGAGGAATGGTTCGACACATATGTTTGCCATTGTGAAGCGTGGAACAAAGTAGTTAAACTACAAAGACCAAAGAAAGTTATCAGCAATACGACAGAAATTAAAGAAGCATGTAAGCTTAAAATAACTATTACTATTATTATAAATATTACCATTGAGTTTACTGAGTAGATCCTGATGTTAGAAATTATTGGGGTTTTAGTTTGAAGAACGTTTTATTTTTATTTCAAACTACTGATTCAACCGTTTTCCATTAGATGAATGATGTGAACGAATAACGTTTTAGTCAGTGAACTCTAAAATAACAAACTCATTAGATAATTATGTGAGGATGCCAGTTTATCTTATTTGTCCCACTATTTTCATGATGAACTTATTGAGTAATGCGAAAGACCTTTAAACCTAATCAAACATAAAGATAATAAACGTTATTATGACATTTGACATCTACATTTTGTGGTTATTAAATAACCTTTTTTCTTATCTGTAAACAATTTATATTTCTCATATATACACGGTACGATAGGTAGTTTAAAGTAAACTTATTTTTCAAACAAACCTGATAAATATTTGTATCAGGTAAATTGCAAAGCACTAAACAAATTGGCTTCAAGAGGTATTTCCTGGAGTTCTAATGAGAAGCAGTGACCAGTGAAGTTCAACCTGGTCTGTTGTGAGATAATAATTCACTGAAGACAATGGTGGATGTATCGCCCAATTTCGTGGATTAGTTGACGTTAGACATTAACACCGTCGGAAGCCGGCTCAGTGGTCTAGATGTTAAGCGTTCGCGCGCGAGACCGATAGGTCCTGGGTTAGAGTCTCGCGCGGCGTGATCGTGGATGTGCACTACTGAGGAGTCCCACAATGGGACGGGACAGCCGTCCAGTGCTTTCAGGTTTTCCATGGTGGTCTATCTTCAATTGACTCATGATCTCAACTATTAAACTTACTATAATATCAAACATTTCTTATCTATATACCTTTTTGTATAAATATATTGTATAATGCAAACATTACGTCCACTAATACGATCTGATTTATTGAAGAGAATATGCCTAAGGCAAGTTTAAAAAATTTCTCTTGCCAACACTTAAGTTTCCTCTAGTTTTTTGTGATAAATTTGACAGACTGTAAAGATAAGTAAAACTAGTAAATCTAGAGTTAGCAAAAAGTTCTAAAATGGTTTAGCTCTAGCTTATTGTACATTTCTTTTTACATAACACGAATGTATCTTAGAGGGCAAAGAAAATTTCTCCAGTGATAAAATTTATATACTACTTAATGAATGCTGTAACAAAGAGTGAAAAGCACTTGTTTTAATATTTGTGGAAATATTCACTTCATTGCAAGATATAATAAATAATTGTATCTCACATCAGTTTGAAGTGATAATTAAACATTACACATTCATAACTATTTCTTTAATTAGTGCTTGATATCTGTCATTCTGTATTATATCATTTAACTTCCGGATCAGCAAATCCTGAACACTAAACCATCAAAGCTATCATGGATTCTATTAAATGAACCTAAGTTTGATCACAAGACAAGGTCCTCATTCATGTTTTATCACGTATAAATGAACACTGAAAGAATGTTTAAGAACAAAAGTCAATTTGTAATTTGTATTACTTATGATAAATTTATTATAAGGCTATAAGAATTTAATGTTTAAAATTAATTTTTGTTTAAATGACCAAATCTTAGTCGTTTTTAATGTATTCCATATTTATTTATTTACATTAAGATATAAAAAACTAGAAAGTCTAATGAAATCAATTTATATTCGACTTATAAACAAGGTGTACATATACACATAATGTTAGTGCTTTATATAGCATCTAAGATTAAATAAGAAAAAAAGGTTGATTCTGCACATTTATTACTTGATTAAGATCTAGATTTATCTGGGTTTAATGAGTGATTGAGAATGTTTTAGTTTAGGTTATGAACAAATAAGAATAAAAACTTTATGAGATTCCCGTCCTATAAGTGATTTTTATGCTTCAATAGACAGTATCAGTGCAAATTGTCGTGTGTGTGTGGGGGGACATTTTCTTTGTAGCCAGTGTATAATATCTATCCTAGTGCAGCCTTTTTGCCCCGCAGATTGTCCTCAATGGGTTCCACTTATCCCAAACGTGAATAGGCCATGTCCTCTCATTTTTGATGCTATTTAGATAACCATCATTTTCTCTCATATTATCCGGACATTTCATTTACCTATATTAACTTGTTCTGGTTGTTAGAAAGGGTGTTGGTCTCTTGGCTTTCGAATAACCTAAACTTTCACTTTGAGGCGTGGTAACTATTTTATATGGAAACCCTTCAATTCTCAAAGCAGATTTCAAACGGTCTAGATTACTTTTTCTGGTTAGCGTTTCGTGGTGAGGTTTTTTATTACGAGGTAGGACTGGTAACCCTAGGCTCAGTCATCCTTTATCCGGGATTTGGATGAATGTTTATCCTAGAGGAGCTCCAGGTGGAATGAATGATATACCTGTATTAAATAAGATCCACCTGTATTAGACAACAGATAATAATGTAACTTTCTTCTAGATATTCACACGAACATGTTGGGCAGTAGACAGTTCACTCAATTTCCTCGTATTAAGAATATATTGTGTTTTGGTTATAAGTTAATGATTGGAAAACTTCATCATTGTTTCATGAACTTTATTGTCGTTGATTGATTAAAGTTCGACATTAATCCGTAGGACGTTGGCTCAGTAGTCTAGAGGTTAGGCAGTCATGTATGTGCAGGAGCCTTAGGTTCGAATCCCGCAGGGTGCCAGAGTGCGCACTTCTGAGGAGTCCCATACTAGGCCGGAATGGCCGTTTAGTGTTTCCAGTCTTTCAATGGTAGCATACTCTGGATCGGCTCACGATTTCAATGAACTTCAAATAAATTTAATCACTCAACAGTATCCGAATTCTCGTCGCCGCCAAGTGTGTATAACAATCACAGAGTTTGAGAGTCAATCAGTGCGCCTAGATTTTGAGTATTAACTATAGTGTAGGAAAAATGAACTTATGCATTCGAATTTTTATTGAGAGCAAGTAAGTTATTTGATTGTGAGTTCACATGATAGTGTTAGTGAGGAGAGTTCGATGAGATGTCACTGTTAATAAGGGCACCACATAGTATCTGATAACAATTGTAGTAAAAGAACTAGTAAATTTTAACACTTGATTGGCGGAAATACAATACCTAATTGCTTTTCTAACCCTTATTCTACATAACATTCCCGCAAAGAATGGTGTATTAATAATTAAAGTTCATTCGCTAGTTACAATTTTCATATTTTTATGAAAGTAGTATGTCAAATAGCTCTATTGCAGATGGAAGAGAAACCTCACGACATTGTCACTCCGATATTTATTTTGATAACAGGAGTGGTCTACGTTTGTCAGGATGTAAGTGTTTTAAGATAATCAAATGAAGTCGTCCCTGTCAAAAATTTGTCTTTAATCAATTTAGGTTCAATAATTAGATAAAACCGTTTACTGATGTTAAAACCCTTGACTAACCAATAAAGTGATTATATTGTTTTTTACATTATGACTAAACAATAAGAAAGTTGGAGTAACAGAAGACAGATCTAATACGAAATGTTAAAACACATGAAGAAATGGATTAACTAAGTTTAAAGGCAATTTCTTTACGCCCAGAACCAATCTCATCTAGATGTGGTTTTTTGAAGTACAGAGTTTATTAACTAGTTATAACTAATAGGATAGCTCAAACAATCTCATGATACAAGTGCTTATTTTCTTCATAATCTTCCTTATTCGAATTATAAGCAGTGAAGAGAAGCGATAAACTAATGTGGCTTCTCATTCTAGCTTTTATTTATCCTGATGTGACATATTGACAGTGGTCAATTATTTTCTATTCTTTAAATATACTACAATTTAAGATAAACACGATGTCAAAAAATTCTGAAAAGTTAAATAACTTGAGTGTTTGTGTGTGTGTGCGCGCGCATTGTGGTACTTACTATTGTAAGAATTATTATTACCAACACGGTGATTGTGTATATTCCTTCTAATCCTGACCTACAGAATATTTAAATAGCTATCTGTTTACATCTTGTTTATTTACTCTGTCTATCTGTCTAATGTCAGAAGAAAAAAAAAACAATATGCAAACATTATGTACAAAATTAGTGAATAATAATTAGTTATTCATTTATATAAATAAATTGTGTCTTCCTTTACATTTAATGTCAACTAGAAATCAATTGCATGCTTTCAATTAATGTTACCATCGTTTGGCCACAGAACATTTTTGTTCGGAGATAATTAATGGAAAATGAAACTTACTTTTACATTTATCAGGCTAATTTATTATTATTATTATTATTATTATCATTATCATTATTATGTATAGTCCCCAACCTACCTACTTTTTATTGTCGAGTAAAATGAAGGCAAGAATCTTTGGTTTTTTGACATTATTTTGACTTTTAGATAAATTTTTAAATTCAATCTTAATGCAACATAATGAACTAATGAAATATGTTTAGAAAATTGAGAAATATATTTCATTATACACTAATGTCATTTTCATTGTTTATAATAACAATACTAATACATTGAATACTAATTGAATATCTAGTGTCATACTTAAATATAAAGGTATAATATTTTGTCAAATAATATGCCATTATATTCATATTCATTATAAATGTACTCAAAGGCTAATCATTTATGTAAAACAAAAAAAAAAACACAACTGTATCTTAACATATTTTTAATGATTCATGTCTAATATGGTGTTCCTTTCATATGTAGAAAAAAATACTTTACTAAGAAAGTGTATAAATGTATTCATGTGCAAATGTACATTATTGAACTATATGTACTGATGCACTTGAATCTCAGGTATGTACATAAAAGTTGTGATTAATTAAATATTTGTTTAGTTATCATTTTAAGTAAGTTGTCAAGTGGTAGATTACAGTTTTGGGTGCATAATTTAAAAAGATAAGTCTTTATTTCTTTTTTGTTTGTTTGAATTATATCGATTAAATTCTCGAAGATTTGAATTGACATCAATAGTGTCACATAGAGAAATAGTCTTAATGACCATTTTTTTGGATATGT